GAGATGACGAAAAGACATCGTTTCTCACGCCGAGTTCTTCTCACTTTGATGGAACTTTCTAATCTAACAGCACATAACCGACTGGTAATGGGGACCCAATCGATTAGTGCTGCCTCAGCTCTGGTGCTTAGTGCGACACCAACGCCAGCAAGACCAGACGAAGATGCCACAAGGTCCCCGGATAAGCGCACGTAAAACAAGCCTTTCGAAGCGACAGATGAAGAGCGAATTTGTAGTACTTCACCAGAGTCTTGAATACGGGTCTCAGATAGACAGCAGACATCGATATTAAGACTTTGCAAAGACATAGCCAGCCCTATCTGTTGTCCAACCTGCATAAGTGTGCGAACGTTGAAGGCAGGCAGTTTGAATGGTGCACGTGGTTTCGGAAAAACTGCTTCAGTATTCGTATTTGGTGGTAGCATACAATTTTCAACCAGGCAGTGACTCGAGAACGTTTAGATAGAACCGAGTTTCCACCGTAGGCGAGCTGCTGTATAAGTCGAAAAATAAGGATACATAAAGTGGGAATAAAAGAGAGTGAATAAATGACGTAGTAAATAATAACAATAACAATAATAATGTGAATCATTTGATTGCTGATCGAAGCAAGACAAGTATTTTCCATAAATATCGACATTTCATCACATTTGTGTGAGGGCTGTGATACTGCCCGGGTGCCCAAACCGAAGCAGGTGGTTTTCTTAGGGGGCCACTCCCCGAGCCTTTCATCTAAAGGTCTAGCCCACAAGGCAGTGGAGCATCGTGAGGAGATGCATTCCCATGGAAGCCGGTGACCAACGATTGGTTCATACGTCATTTGTTCCCGCAGGGTACTGGAGCCCATGTGCACCATTGGTTTGGGATCGGTTAAAGCGCCGGACATTCGCTTTTCGTCCTCTCAATTTCGTAAACAACAGTTCCGCCACGAGAAGGCAGTGAGTAGGACTTCCCTGGCAGAGGCTGTATATGCGTGGCCATGTGGGAGCATTTCGAGAGGGAGGGAGGGCGGGCCCACCCCACTCTCGGCCATACCAGGGCATTTTGGGACATGAACTATGAACACCACTACAAAGGAAAGCGTGTCAGAATATCCGAATTCGCGCGAGGTCATAATCAAAGTGTAAGAATAATAATGGAAGCACAATGTAGCTGTCATTAGCACAGTTAAACATAGAGCACATTAAATCAAGCACTGGTACAATTGGTTATAATAATAATTGCTTTCATTAAACCAATCGTGTTCTCGTGATAAAAGTGAGTCACCACAATACAGTAAATGAGGTATTATTCCAACTGTCAGATTCATATGTTTCTAAAATATTTTATGATAAATTACTTAGAATCATAGTAAATTCTTGTTCTACTTTATCCTTTGAAAATAACTTAGTTGACTTTTTGGAGAATGTCTTTTTTAGAACTCTCTTTAGGAGTGGTCTGCATCAGTGTCTGAACTATAGTTACAGAGAGATGTAGTTGAGTAATATCGATCATTTCATTTATCTTAGAAGTCTCATCAGCGCTGGTATGCTGGTGTTCGACGAAGGCTTGGTTGTGTTTTGCCAACTTCTATTGCTGTGACGTAGGCAAGATATCCGTTTGACAATTAAAGGATTATTTTGCTTTGCACCATTCCAGTCTGTTCTATTTCTGGGTGTCAAACATACCCTTTAAAATATAGAATATTCGTGGATCATCAGGACTCAACCTTCAGTGTCTTTAGAGCAAGTTAATACTACCAACTTCAGACACCAGATGTTACCAGTGTATTACGTATGCCTGTACTTTGACTACCTCAACGTTCTACAATCTCTAGTGTAGAAGTAAGTCGTAAGAAAGTTAGGCGTGGTCCAACTAAGATATGGTATCTGTTCATGAACTGTCAGGAACGTCCATGTTTTCTGCTATCATTTGTCGGCTTTCCACAGGTCAATTCCACTTTTTTTCCATCCATCATCTATCCTTGTGAATTCATTATCCATTTTATGAACTTCAAGGTATTCAATTTATGAGTTATCTGTAGGTCGTACACAAGTTTAATTGATGCAAATTCACTCTATTCTGATTACATTTTTGCTAAATGTTAATTACTTTAAAGTAGTTTCCCAATTGCAGACATTCACGTAAAAGTTCTGAAAAGAGGTGGTAGATGAACTAGATTTACTAAAAATATATTCCTTTGGGATTTTTATCATTCAAAGAAACTATACAAATTATTAATGAAAATAACACTTCTAATATTCTGTATGACCATTTTCATTTCAGTGTTTGCGTACGTCTATGTGTGTACAAGAAACCATCTATACCTGAAATAAATGTATCTACAATCAAGCGTCATAAAGTACTTAGTCCTTTTTTTTCTAGTCATTATATATGCATAACTTTAGGGTATGTAGAAGACTGTTCAGATAAAAAAAATTTTGTCAGTTCATTTTTGCGTTCAAAAATTACAATTTACATTTGTGTAAATAACATATCTTAGCTTTATCACTAAGCAAACCACCATTTTATTTTTTGTAATTAGCTAATGTAATAGCTAATGAAAATAAGGTATTTTAGAGTAATAATCATAGGTTTTTAACCCTGCATCGTATCTCAATAGCTTGCTACACATTACTGTTGTTAAGTCTATTAAAAATGGATTGAAAACCAAAAAATATGAAACTAGGGCGCCAGTTTGCATCTAAAAAGTTTATGTATTACTATTTACAAACTCATTTTACCCAACTTTTATTTAGTGTTAAACTATATGCTGCTAAACTATCCAACTGTATTAACAATACAAACTACAGTTAATTAGCTCTAGATGTTTAAAACACGAAGTTCAATAGAGGAATATCTTTCCATCGAATTTATTATCATGCTGTACAACCAAATATATATGAAATGTATTGCTCAATGTTATGTTAAACACTGTCTTAGTTATGTATTTACGGACTTATTATTTATGACGCATCATAGCCCGGGATTTTAAATGTATCACCTTCAACAATGGGATATCACCGAATATATATTTCAATGAGTTAGTTATGAAGGTACTTAATTGAGAGTGTTTACTCAATTTCAGTTTATAGCACACGCTTATTTAGCAACTGGAAACACTTCTCTGTATTAAAAGGTTTGATATATAGCTAAAACTTGGTGTTCTGAATTGTAAATTCCAAACCGTTAAACATATTCTTCTAAGGACTCAATATTCTGAATTGAGTTGAAAATACAAAAATCTTTAGAAATAAACATTTGTCAAGCAAAATTGCTGACAATTTTCCTTCATGCAGTGTCAATGTGATTATAGTTTACTTGTATAAATCATTGTTTTTTTAAATTATTTACCAACATAGTTTCCGAAATTTCATACCTGGTACATGCTTAAATCAGCAGTGTCGGTGGTACGAGTTAAATTCGAATTTATGTCCGTAGCACATCATAAACTGTGTCTATTTTCAAATAAGTGACTGTTAAAAGTAATATTTATTTAGATAAATGGTTCCAGTTCCCATTCAACAGCATTTGAAAATTTCCAAAGAATACAATCAAAAATCAAAGTGTTTTGATTATTTTGAACATTCACCAGAATTTTCCGAGTATAATAGTAACAATAATTTCGACACCATATTTCAACGTAAAAAATAGTTCGTTATTACTTGATTTACCTTTTCATGATAGTTCTTTGGAAGATTAAATATTTTCAGTATAGGGTTGTGGAGATTATTCACTTATTGATTGAGATCATGAACCGATTGATGTTAGACCACCATTGAAAACCTGGAAGCACTGGACGGCCATTTCGTCCCATTGTGGGACTCCTCAGCAGTGCGCATCCACGATCGCGCCTGCGGGATTCGAACCCAGGGTCTTCAGTCTCGCGCTCGAAAGCCTGACCTACTAGACCACTGAGCCGGCATCCAACGGTGTTAATGTATTTGAGAATTGTCAGCTGGATGTACCTGCATCCCAGAGTTCATGTTCACTCGTTCGCTTCAAACACCATTGTGTTATCCACTTAATCACTGTGTCCAGATATCCAATAGCTAGTGTAACGGGGTGAAGTTTATTTCGTCTTTATTGGTTGTGTTCGATCACTTCATTGATGTTCATGATTGCAATCGATCAGTTTCTTTATAATGCTTGTGAATTACTGGTAGTATCTAGGATACACATATGCCAAAAAGACTGATCAACAACAATCCCAAATATTATGGGGAAGAATAAACAGCCGAAATAAACAAATGTACAGCTTGATAATAAATTCGTCCAGTGCTTCCAGGTTTTCAATGGTGGTTTAGCATCAATCTTACGTTACGAAGTACCGGGACATAACAATGATCCCTTTTAACGTTCCTCACTTCGTGTGCAGAATACACGACCCCAAATCAAATGGGTGATATTTGCAGGTTTAGTAACTTCATGTAAAACACATTATTGCATAACACTGGATTTCCTTACTCAGATTGAATACTAGCAGGAAATCTGGCAAAAGTTTTTCCTCTAAATCCATAGTTTCAGGACTTTATTTGTTTTATGGATTAGTTATATTTGGCATTACTAAAATAATAAAATATTATTCACCAGCAATGTTTGCAAAACGGGAAAAGTGGTTAGATAAGGGTTTTTAGACATGTGACACACGTGAGAACTTAGAAATCGTTCAGCAATTGCCATTCTAATTATCCGGATTTTAGTTAGTTTTGGAATAACGAACTGGTTCTAAAATATTTAACTGTGATGACAACATAAAACTAACTGCCTTGTAATATTGCAATACGATTATTGGCAAACTAAGAAATAACACCTCTACATAGTTTACGATGTTCGTATCCATATTAATTTGTTTCTTTTTTAGAAATGTAGGCACACAACACTTAATCAGTTCTATTTTTGGTTGATTAATCGAAATAATATAACATGTTAATCTGATTGGTTATCATAACAATTTAACCTTGATGGACATAAATGAACCTGATTGGCATCTTTAGACCACAATTGTAAGTAAGTAATTTCAAATTGTTTTATTTATTTTGAGTGTAGAGAGGACTTTGGTTATTTGTCTATAAATAATGAACAAAAGATGACTACAAGATTTGTTGTAATTATGTATCACATTTATTGAAGATGAAATCTACTTTTCAATTCACTAAAACAAACACTGGTAGCAGTCACTTAGAAAATCCGATGTCCGCAGAAAAACTACATACTTGTGGAGTTATTTATGAAACCGAAATATCAAGGGAAAATAGTAATCGATTAACGGAAAAATCTAAAAACGACTTTGAAACTACTTCAGGTAAACATCAACAAAACGAGCCAAAATCATTAGATTTTAAACATGAAAGTAAAAACCTATTAATGACCAATAGAATTGATGAAGGCATTATGAAACAGCAGTTACCCAGTAATGTGGGACAGCAAAATAATCCACACAGTGAGAAAGATGTTAATAGTTGTGAAAACGTTATGGATAATAACAAAGTTCTAAAACAAAAATCAAAGCGAAATGTATCATATCACGAAAATGTTGACACTAGATCTGTGGACAATTCATCAAATGCTGGAAGTAAAAATTATTACAGCAGCTCGTCATCGACTATGTCCTCCGTGACTGAAAGCTCTACATCACAAAATTACACAGACTCTGTATCTCCTGAAGCTCACCTATCAAAATTGAAGAAAATACACCGTAAAGCATCAAGGCGTAAAAAACTAAAATATCTTAAAGGAATATTTTGCTTTTTATCAGTAAGAATTATTCTATTATTTACTTTAATCTTGAGTATTTTATTTCTTCTGGTTGGATACCTATTGCATATAAGGAATATTTTGATAACTGGTTGCATATTGTCTTTGACATCAGTTGGTTGTCTAGTTCAGTTGTGCTTCACTAAACGTACAAGTTCCAACAAATTTAATCCACAATCCGTACCATTTGCACTAGCTGCTGAAGATCTTCCGAATACAGAAAATAAGACCTTAATCCCATCTTTGACAATAGCAACATCGAACCAGTTGAAGACTACAAGCACCAGCACTGTTGTTAATGAAATAGTTGTTAGTAGCACTAATAACGACGGTAATTTGTTAAAAGTTCCTGAAGAGTCATCTGCTGTACAGTTAACTACATCACCAAATACACCCGTTGTCATAGGCATCGATCACATCCAAGCAAGACGTTTAAGTATGGCATTACAGCACTTGTCAAGAAATTCCTTTCAACCCCAAGCATTATCCTCACATAAGCACGAAACAACAAGTATGCTAAATATGGCAAGACGTTTAACAATGGCTAGTTCAGCCATTGCTTTGGGCAGTGCTGATCGTGATTACTACGGTCATTCGTCATGGTTAACTGGATCTAGAGTTCGACATGGTGTAAGACGTAGTTTAGCATGGAATGAGTCTGGTGCAACTCGATTTTATGAACATTGTTATGACTGATAAATCAACGAATACATAAAAACTGTCGAACTTCTTTAGATTACTTTTAAACTTTTGCAATAATAATTTTTTTATTGTCATTCAGTTTAAAAAAATATTGTATCACAATTTACTTTGGAAATTGACTTACAGGCATTTTTCTGTAAGATAATTTGTGACGGAATTTTTTTTAGTTCACGTCTAGGATATACAAAAGAAACAAATATATACTAGGATACTCATCAAGTCATTTAGGCCTTGAACTATAACATCATCGTTCATTTTACTATGGTTTATTACATGTTTGCTGTTCATGAACTTAACCCTACTTCGTTAGGTAATTATTACCTTTGGAATCAGCCCATGTAACAGAACTGGATGAATTCCTACACAATAATCTAAAGTTAATAAGCTCCCCAAGAGATTTTAATTCCCAAGGCTCGAACCCTGCCATGGATTCAAAGCTCTGAGAAGGCCTATATCAGGATAAAACAGCTGTCTAGTCCTCCATAGTTTTCAATAGTGTCCTAATTAATGTCAGTTCATGACGAAATTCACCTAAATATTACGTTTTATTATCAACCAAGATTTTACTATCATACATTATTTTTAATTTTATTTCAAAAGTAGTGGCTTTAGGCACTGATGATTTCTGTTTAAAACGGCCATATAACCTAATTGAAATACTCAACATAAACTTATAGAAGTACGGAAAGATCCACCATAAGTTTGTCCAGCAATTTTTGTTTAGAGTTTACAAAAATGTCTATGTTGCAAACAATATAGAAATATAACCTCATTAAAATCAAACTATAACGAAATATAAATTTATTTAGTAGTAAAATCAACATTGTAAAATATGAATATCAGTTGCTCAGTATGTAAAAACACTGTTCACTTAACCGATGGTACTGATCTTTTTGAAAGAGTTGGGAAATCTGTTTATTTATTTTCCGAATTAACAATTATACTATAACAATCTTATTCCCAACATGTTATATATAATTGTAAACCGTTAATGCTCCCAAAATCATATTTATATAACACGTACGTGTACTGAAATATCACCTACATTTAATTAGTTATGTTAAAGAATATGCACTGAATACCGGGAATAATAGCTCAGAACAACTGCATTTATCAATGTTTTTTATACTTCAACGGGGTAGGAGCGATTTATTGAATATTTGTCTGCTCATTCAGAACACTAGCGGAGTTTGATTTCCAAAATGTTGCCAAGTCATTGAAATAAAATTAGAATTTATTTGGACTATAATCTGAATTTTCTCATTTTGGTGTGTCTGAATAGCTTAACAGCATATTCTCAAGCGTAAAACAAAGAAACAATATAAGATTTTCATAAGTTGACATTACCATGCAATTTACAAACAAGCTTCTGTATTTATTCTTGTTTGTAACTGGTACCATACAAGAAAATTAAAAACAGACCCAAAGTTAAGTCAGTGCTACATGTGAACGCATCTGATGAGAAATTCAGTAATATAAGAATTAATAAGGTTTGAAACAAAGAGTGATCTTCCAGTATATGCCATGCATCCATTGAGTGAACAAAAATATCACAAATGGTGGCTACAAAACATGGTATGTAACTTCTGTTGTTTTAAACCTTTTCTCTCTTCACAAACCCCCACAATCTATCTCATGTTTGAAGAAGAATACAAACAATTAAGCTAACAGAATTTTACTTTCAGTGATGTCATCTATTTGAGATTCACAATCGTATTTACGATCGTTCCATTAATTGTTTATCGAAATCAGATATTGAAAGGAAATGCAACTGCTAATGAGAAATAATGAGGTGAATATAACTGTCCACATGGTAGATATTAAGAACAGGATAATTAAAAGCTGTGATAATGGCTAATTAATGGTTGCGGAAATGATTCCAAAAGAGAATAAAAACGATAGATTATGGAAGATAGTAAGAAAAGATAAGATCATGAAAGAATAAGGGATTGAACATACTGCTTTTGTACACAAACGTTAGTCTTGAACTGGTGGATAACTACAGACTTTTCTGTGCATATCGTTTACTTTACATTCTTTTTGAACCGATTCTTCTCACTATGTGAATGATATGGATAGAGGTTTCTGTTGAACCATAGTGGTGAAAAGTAACTAGATGTTACGAGTTTGAACTTTTGACTGAATTTTGTAATCCTTTAGATGGCTAGGGAGGGAAATTTCTGAAGATGTGTTACGAAATAGCTTGTTTTAAACGAGCGATATGATGTTCCAAATGAATAAGTAAGCTGATAGATGCACATTGATTTGATCCAAGCCGAAGCTTGTCCTTCGCACTACTACGAATCAAAGACTGACTAGAGAAGACATTATAAATTTCAGCCAAAATGAATATTTTTCTCACAGATTCCGAAAGTCTACTTTTTGGAACTTCTGCATAAGTATCTCCTTTAAACTGGATGTTCATAAAGAGAGTTTTCTTTGCTGCTATAAACACTCTTTCACGTTGTTATTCAGGTTGAGATATTTCTCAATGATTCTAGTTAGATGGATATCAATTGATGATCAGTATCTCCCTTAGTTAATCAAGCTCATTGCTAATCGTATCATTGCTATAGATTCACCTAGGTGTCGTGAATAGACAATGGGTCAAGTATCTTTTCTACTTCAGTGGAACTCAACTTTTAAAATTCACTTGCTGTCTCAAATTTATGAGGTAAGTGTGATTTATCTTCATATCAGTCAATATTTACTGCGCAGTTTTAGATAAGACGCTAGTCAGACAACCATGTTAAAACGGTGAGTAATACTTTCAGATCTGTTAACGGTTGTTATCATCTACTGTGTAAAGGACATTCTTCTATTTGAAAACAGCTGTCTGAACACATTATGTGAAGTGGTGCATAGATAACGGCAATAGAATTGAAGAATATTTTAATTATCTGTACCTTCTATAAGTTTAAACACATATTTTACAAAACAGTAGAACGTGTCAAGAAAATTCGAGGAAATTTCGACTTAGTGAATTCATTAATGTAGCATCTGCATTGATGAAGCCAGAGAATCCTTTTGAAAAATAATCATATTTGATTAACTTTGAAAACAGTACGCGACTATTTCAGGTGTAATTCTTTCTACCTAAAATAAAACAAAATGTATATGATAAAAGGACTAACTGTTAGATGAAAGTGGTAATTCATTTAGATTTTTTACTTGTTAACTTTCCGCAGAATTAGTTTATCTGTGATTTAAAGTCCACCTTGTCTATATATATTCCTGAACCTTACTGCCTTTAACCATTAAGAAAGCAAATAAGCAAGTGTTCGTAAACCGAAATTTAAGTCAGTTCTCATCATATTTAAACGAAACTCTATCAATGGACTAGTTCGATCGTTAATACCGACAATAAGTTGTTTAAATTCGAGTGACTTTGTTTTATAGTAAATACCACAGAGTTATTGAAGATAATACGATTAATTGCGTACCTGAGTGCAAAATTAACGAAGTGTACTGGGCTATACAAGTACTAAGATATTATATGGTTTTCATAACTGAGTTGGGAAACTGTTATATCCTAGTGAAGATTAAATTACGGGTAACTTCTGAGGACTATTGATGGATTGACATTATATATATTCCTATTGTATAACTAATCAGCAAATAGATTATGTATATCTATATTTCCCTTATAATAAGCTTCATTTTGACCTATAGATTATGATTATGCTCAGTTTATTGATTACAGTCTCACACGTTCACAGCCACTTTTTGGCTTGATCTTGTATAAATATTATTTCATATTTTATGGTGTGATGGGGTCTATTTGGCTGGCATAAAAACCAAGTAAGTTTGAAATACATGATTCGTATATTGGAAGCTGTTATTGACGTTCTGGACTAAACTGGACGGGCTAGGCGAACAATTTCTTCTTCAGCTTAAAGGTGGTTTGTTTAACAGGTACATGAAATTTTCCACCTTCTCCAGAGCTTCTCCATCAAGTGTGTTTTTATCGTTACTCACGGTTTCATCTCAGGATCTTGATTTTAGTTTAGTCAATGTTGAGGCCCAATTGTGCACTGTCTATGTTCACCTGCATTTGTTGCTGTGAATAGGATAGAAAGACTAGGTCATCTGTAAAATCCAAATCTTCCAGTCACATCTGATCTGTCCATTGTATTCCCTGTTGTTCCCCAGATTTATAGGCTTTCATACTCTGGTCTACCACGAGAAGAAAGAGGAAAGGGGAGAATAAACAGCCTTGTCTAACACCGGTCTTCACTTGGAATGCATCTACCAGCCGTTCTCCATTCACGACTTTAGAGTGTAGTCTGTCGTAAGAATCCCGTAATATAGTAACGATCTTGTCAAGTACACCATAGTGTCGAAGAAGGTTCCATAAGGTCCTCCTATCCATGCTGCCAAACGCCTTCTCGTAGTCAAGGTAGTTGATATATAGTGACAAGTCCCATTCAATCGATTGTTCAACGATGAACCGTAGTGTTACAGCTTGGTTTGTGCACGACCTATCGTTACTGTATTCAGCCTGTTGATTTTGACGTTGGTTGTCTACTGAATCTTTCATCCTATTCAGCAACACTTTGTTGAAAACCTTTCCTGGTACTAATTGCAGTGTGATGCCTATGTAGTTCTCGCACTCACTGAGATCTTTCACTGATAACTTAATGCGATATCCTTCTTCCTACTCTGCCGGTACTTTTCTTCCTTCGAAACCTTTCCGAACAAAGCATGGAGCACTTTTTCGGTTACCTCTACGTCTGAATTTAGTGCCTCAGCTGGTATATATTCTCTTCCTATTGCCTCCCCTCTCTTGAATTATTTGACGGCTATGCCAATTTATTCTAATGTTAGTAAGGTAACAGCCATGGAAAGGTCTGTAGCTGCTGCTTTGGTGTCCGGTGAGTTCAATGGGGCTGATCTATTCAAGAGTTCTTCGAAGTGTTTTACACGCCTGTTCATCTGTTCTTGAATCTCAGTGATTGGCTTGCGTTATTTGTTCTTGACTAGTCGCTCTAATTTATCATATTTTCATGCTAGCCTAATCCTTGTATCATGCAGTTGTCTCATATTTGGTTCTCTTACATCATCTTTCTGCTATCGTTTCCAAGTCAGCCATACATGCTTGTTTATAAGCTCTAGTGCTCTTCTTCTACTCACAGAGCTCGTAAATATTCAAATATGTGTAAAAATGTTTTAAAAGTGATTAGTTGTCATTATTATTTTCCCTTAAATGTTTACAATCAGTCTAGGTCCAATAACATCTTTTTCACCATATAATATAGTCGATTTGTAAATACTTTAGTAATTGTGCATATACTTTGAAGCGTAGTAATAAGCAACATTGAGGAAAAAATATCATTACTGACTTCATTATTCAACAAATCAATAAAAACACAAACAGATGTTTTGATTTACCACTGTAAATTGTAGAATTTAATCTATTCGAAGGCACCATAAAAAGTCTTAACATTTTCCAATAAGTCAAAATTCAATGATAGCTGTTCTGAAAGAAAAGATGCTATTGTGACGAAGAGAACTGTTGGATAATTGGTTACTCCATGAACATTCTATTCATTTCTGATTAATTTGTCGTCATCCAGTCATTAACTCATTTACAACATTTGGATTGCATATTTTTTAAAGCAACAGCTATAATTTGCTAATATACTCACATAGTCCGTCAAATTGCTAATGATTCTGTTTTCTAAAACATATTCTCTTAAGCAGTTGGACAATCTGTCCAGTGTAAGAACGATCAGTCTGGTCGTCACGGTCATTTTAACAGATCAAGTAAATCATTAAAATGTCGAAATCAATCCTGTTGTCTTGTTACTGAACTAGAACATTTTAAGTCTAATTACAATCAGTTGACTAGTTCCGAAATAGAAAGTACCGTACTTCCAGAATTTAAATTAGACCATGATACTTATAACTGCAGAAACCAATTGATAAAAAAGGAAGCTTAAATTTATTTGCAGTTTGTTCAAGAGTCATCTTTGCCTACGATATTATAATGAAGATATTGTTATTTCTATTTTCTCTTTCGTAATTCAGTTAACAAAAAATTCGTTAGATAAATATAATCACTTTCATATACATTCATGGAATTAGTATACACAGGGAAGCTTGCAGCAACTGAAATATTGATCATTATTCTAATAATGAGTTAAATAATGGTTAGTTCCGGAAAGAATTTATCTTACGCACGCTGCACAGCTCAAAAGAAGTTATAGGTTTACGAAGTCACTTCTTAGGTTTCTGATAATGATAACAGTTTATGGAGACTTTTGAGACTTGGATAACTGGCTGTTACGTGTTGCGTATAAATAAACCCCAAAACGTGATATCTATTAAGTTTCACGGATCTATACCGAGCCGACTTTTATATTGTTTGAACACTGAATCTTAGTTTTATTATTTATATCTTACACTATACCAGATTTTAATTCACTGATGAAAAAAGAAAGGCATGATAATATCTGTCTGAATAATACCTCGTTGTTTTCTGGTTTGTTGCCAACAATAGGAAACGGTAGACCTAGATTTTGTGCTAGCAGACAACAGTCACCAAGGTGTACCGAGGATTTTGAAGAGACTAATGCCGTTTGTGAGATTCAGTTAACTTTAAGGCCTAGAAAAAAATAACATCGGTGACTGCTTAATAACTAATCAACGTAAATACTTCCTGCAAAGAACATTTTGAGAAATCAACTCAGTCAGTTAAATAAAAATCTTCAACTTTGTTTTTCTTTATATGTAAATCAACCTTTTTACATTTCATCTTAGCGCTAAGTAATTCATATTAAGATGGAAAAGTAACTCATAACAATGACTTGGAAGGTTACGGATTTGTTAGATGAATTTTTATTAGGATAATGAAAAAAACCAATTACAAAATAGCAATGATGAGGCTCTTGGAATTGTTTGGGACACTACTGAAGTCAAATAATGCCACTGACCAGTTAAGTACAAAATATTTTGTGTCCTTTAATAGTAACTGATAACACTGAAGAAGGTCTCATAAGATTGAGTATGAAACAATTGCTTGTCACTAATTTAAACAATGTTTTTTTTAAGTATATTCTTTTCAGTTCAGGTTATCCAGAATCTATGTATTTCTTCATTCCAAAATGTTTAGAAAGAAGGTAAGCATTGAAATGTTTATGATTATTGCAAATTTCACGCAGTATACTTTTACAATAGACCACAAATTGTATTTGTTTTAGGTTGTGACATTCCGATTATGCTAGATCGATTTTCATTAAATGGCTTAATTATCATTTAGATTTAAAAAATTAATGAAGAATAGGGTTGAAAATCTCATTCAAGGTATTTTACCACAAAACACTCATCCCAACAAATGTCCTGAGAAAACGGTTTTAAGATAAATGTAACTTTACTTCTCACACTATTGGATGACAAAAACAAATATTGTCTCGTCATTTTTGTCACATTTGGATCCTGGGGTTGATGAGCACTGTTGGATGAATATGTCAACATCTCGCACCAAACGTCTAGATGCTAATACTAGGTTTGATGAATCTTTATCATATGGAATACTATTCTGGCACACTTTTTATTATAATCTCATTTACTCGACTGTCAACATGACGAAAAAGCATTCCTAATGAATGACTTACCAAGTAAGTTACTCTGCGAAGAATCACGCTTATTGTCAACTCAGTATATATATATATATATATATATATATATATATATGTATATATTAAAAGATAATTAAAGTATTCGACACATGCGATGGGGTTTGAGTTGTCATGTGTTAATTAAAAGCTCCATAAACCACACAAATAAATTATTCTTTCAAAACTTTTAAGTGTATATTTGTTACTATAAGGCAAATTAGTATTTTTATTAGTCAAGTTAAATAACAGAAAATAGTTTTTAAATAGTATGTTACATGATTGTTAGATAATGTTAAAATCAAAATTTACATATCGACGTCAGAGTTTCTCTGAACAGTTGAAATATTATCAAAAGTTATTTGAAAAGTACAAAATTGATATTTAAATATTCATACCTTCTGAAACTATTTTAAGGTCACTTAAACCATAATAAATATCAAGTAATATAAACATAACGGAGTTAAAAGCAATATAATTTTTAATCGGTAAACTGGTATAGATATAGATAAAGGTTATCCAGTATATGATAATAAAAGTTTCTTGACTAATTACCAATCAGCGACATTTCAATTCAACTTAGTTAACAGCTTGTTTAGTTATCGGTATGGGGATTTGTGGAGATTGTAGTATTTTTACAGTTGAAATCACAAGTCGATTTAAGCTGGACTATCACTGAAAAAGTGGTGGTACTGGACGGCCGTTTCGTTCATGACGGTGCACATCCATGATTTTGCATGCAGGACTCAAACCCAAGACCTTCTATCTTGCGCTCAAATGCTTAATATCTAGACCACTGAATGAGTGTTAATGCTTAATTTTGATCAACCCATGATCTTGCACAACCTTTCATCCATTAATTAGTTTCCCGTTAGATCAATGAGTTCAAAGGAGCTATCAGTTCTGCAGCAAAACAATGAAAATTTGAAACTATCAATGAGCTGTAACAATTATTAGTAAAAAAACATGGTAACCACGATGAATCAATAAATTAGGTTTTTCACTCTGTAGCTTGTAAATAAAACGTGGTTGCACTATTATCATAATTCATACTTCCTATAAATTTAGGCCGCTTACTTTCACCACAATATTCAATGCACAAAAACATGATATAATCAGTATGTGTAGCGTAAACATTATACAGCTTCGGTAGAAGTGTCTGTATTGATGATACATTAGGGAGTATATCTTCGTTATATCCCGATAAGAATAATTAATAGTAATTTTTGGGATCCATTTATGGACCAATACTATGATTATATTTTTATCGTATAATTGTTAAATAACTAAACTATACATATTCATGTCTCTCTTATTATTATAAGCTTTATTTTGACCCATGAACTATTATTATACGATTTACCATTCTTGAATTATGACCTGTCTATTAATTACTATCTCCCTCATTCACAGCCACATTTGGCTAATTCTTCTACAAATGTTGTTTCATATTTTATGGTACGATGTGGTCTGTCTGGTTGATATATAAACCCAGTATGCTTGAAATAAGTGATTCATATTGCAGAGGCTGAGATTGGTGTTCTGGACTTAACAGGCTGTGCTAGGCGGAAAGCAGGACCAATAAAGACTCGAGACTGCTCGTACTTGTTTTATGCGTCACTGGTCCGGTCGAAAACTCACTGCTCTCTAATTGGCGGTATCGTTACGTTATACAGTAAACAGGGCACACAGGTCACAGGTTATAACAATATTGTTGGCAGTCAAAATTACTATGAGCAACTTCCAAACGTTTTTACGAATGCTATAAATAAGTATTTGACGACATTCGTTTCGATATGCTACCTTGAGGTAGATGATTGAAGAGTCGTCATGTGTTCTGAAACTATATGAATAAGTCAAAGACATAGTCTATTCAGTAATTTACTGCTTTTTAACTAAAATAGCCTAGTGGAATAGACACAGAAAAATGGAAGAGAAAAGGCTAATCCCAATTTCTGGTTGATATGCTGAATATTGATGGAGTTTTTTTCTCTGGGCTGAATGGTTTGATCAGAGAACAAAACTCTATCAAAATCATCCACCTGAGCTATAAATCTTCTCCACCATCTCAATAATTTTCATCAAAAATTGTGTAATTTTCCCCCATTATCTCTAAACGTTTCTAGACACATATTTTGAGTAAATGAACAGCTTCCTCTTTATCTGAAAGAATTTTTTTTACTTTATGTGAAATTCTGTTGTACAGTGTTGTTGTTTCAATCCAGCTGCCCAACTTAGCTGTACTTGGATACTTGCTGATTTAGAAATAATGGATTTATATATAATAGTTTTCCGTCAAACATGAATAATCTTGCTTACTTGTTATGGCTATTTTTCACAATCGACTGTCATAATCTGTAAGTTTGATATCAACACGTAAAACGTATCGGAATTAATTAAACACTATTTACTATTATGTTGATTTGTGAACTAGAAAAACTCACTGCTGAGATATAAACTGGACTTCCGAAATTCTGTAGATTAAAGATTGTATCCTTCTTTCAATATTACAGGAAGATCCACTTATTTTACAAGTATCAGCTACTATAAAGTTTATTTAGTAATCGTTATTTTCAAATTTTTTTTTTAAAAATCCTGAAATTTCTTGTTATTGGTTTCAGTGAGGCGTTGTTCTGTCTTTATAAAGATAACTATACCGTAGGGTTTATTAGTTATACCCTATGAAATTAGGATAAATGATTATTTTCTCATTTAATTACCATTAATAGATGGGGGGAAAGGTATTATTTTTCTAAATAAATAGGTTTATAAATGGTTAAATTTATTATTGAATGACATTTTATGAGTAAACTGGGAGAAAAAAAAGATTCATGTTAGTTGTGATAAAGGTTTCCACTTAAATAGGTCATTTTAGGTGCATAGTTATGATGTAAAATCCATAAAAGATTAAAATAAATGAGCCTTTTATTTGAATTCATAGAAATAAAGATTGCTGATGGACTCTTTGTAATAGTAGAAATTAATGGCTAGACATACGGTTTCTAATCATTATATTCATTCTTTCGGCTTCATTGTTTAAGTTACTTCGCTTACGTATTATTTCTCATTCTTCTTATGCATTGTATATAAGTCTTTTGAAATTGACAGATAGAGTGCCATTATATAACACGGTTGTGATTGAAAACCTTCCATAATTAAAAATGAATTAACGAAAACGTTTTGCGGAAAATAGACAGTAATTTTCAATTGTTGGTTGTTCATGGAAACTATCATATAAGAAACAACATCTTATAATAAAACTATTGAATCATTGTACAATGTAAATAGTCCCACATTCTACATTAAAACCCTTTTTACATGTACACTACAGCAAATGTCTAATAATAAAGCAAAAAAGTATTTTAGTTCTTAATTTTATAAAAAAGTTTTTTGTCGGTACATTTTTATCGAACCAGATGAAGTAGTTTACTTTGTGAACTAAATATTTTCGTGTAGCTTAGTTTGAATTGACCTTTTCAGGTTCATTGTAGGAAATTTCCCCAATCAATTAAGCTTCCTTTAACAAAACGAAGATCAATAAAGTGTATTTTTTGGTTATTTCACACTAATTTAATGCACTAGTATCAACAATAGATGTTTATATATATATATATATATATATATATATATATATATATATATATATATATATATATATATATATATATATATATATATTTGTAAATGAACATATGCACATTTATACGGACATATTCCACTTTTGAAAATCTTTCTAGCTAACTGTAATCAAAATTATTAGTGTAAGTATGTCCACATATGAATGAAAATTAAAACACATGATGGAAACACTTATCAGGTGATCCGAACGAAAATAAAGCAGTATTATAATGTGATAGAGTATTTGACAATACTCTTCTTTGTATAGTTACCCAAAAACTAGTGCAATCAGATAGAAGAATAATGTTTCTATAGAATATTTTTGATATTCACGTCAATAGAATCCTTTGTAGATAGAAAACTTATCGCAAATAACATTTACTGAGCCCATATACAATGTTCGTTTGTTCAACATTTAGTGTTGCATGATACTGTTCAATTCAATGTTGACTATTTTCAAATGGTCCTATTAATGATTAAAATTTATGATAAACAGTACACAAGCTATAAAAATATGAGTAACATCCAGTTTGATCCATAACTCTTCTTAAATACAGTGTATTTCTCATTGTTGTTGAACGTATTCAGCAGGACTGTCTGTCTCTCGTTTCCAACCATTTGAAGTCTTTACACAGTACACAAGGAGCTGAATCACTTAGACTAGTTATCATATTGCCACTTGACTGATCTAAATCGATTGGTACGTGAAGTGCTAGACAAATACGACATTGGTTATGACTCGTGGATCAAATAGTTCTAGTTTGAATTCCTAAATAACAAACTCAAATTTTAGATATGTTTGAACTGAGGACATGAAGTAGATGAGCTTTAATATTTAAGAATTATAAAAGAATAAGTACACCAGGGATTTAACCATCTATAAACAG